ACAAATTCGCTCAAGTATGTGAAATTTTCGGACGTTTTTCCTGATATCTCAATCAAATTTACTACACGAGTTCGATCTGGTGTTCTCCAGGACACGCGACAAGTGTGGGCAATGGTTGATTCTGCTTCCTCGACGGGAGCGTTTTTTGTTGTTCAGCGTGGAGAAGTTGCAATGCCTAACATGGATAGAATATATTCTCAAGTCTTCGATGAAGAGTAGGTTATTCTCTCAGTACAAGAGTGAATCTGGCGTTGAATCAGAAGTTGTTCAGGAAAGACCAGATGGCTTCAACCAGTGATGTTCGTCAAGGTATCAAATTTGCGACTCGTCATTTCCGTGTAGCTGCTGAAGCTGAGAAGGAAATTAATAAGGTTATCATTGTATCTTCATCTTTCATATATTGTTCTGAAGTTTTTTTTTTCACAGATGTTGCGTTTGAGTAGAGAGGCCAGTGTAAAACCATCGCTATTATGTCTGCTCATCGATGAGGAACCACGAGTTATGGTAAGTTTATAAACCTTTGCTATTCGTTTTCTACTTCCATATTTTTTTAGCAATATCGAATGAGCGTAAAAGTCTAGCGCGAGCTAGTTTTTTAATGCAATTCAGAGATTTACGTTCCTGTCAAAGTTCGCTCCTGACTAAGTTTATGAGTTTTGCAGATGAAGAGGATAGTGCACTTATCACTGTTCCCTCATATTCGAATTCACGTACAAGAGCCTCAGTCCTTGTTAAACGTAATGGAGTGGCAACGTGTGGTAGCAAAACGAGTCTGCAAGCACTACTTCAACAGTTTCATCTACGTGAAAGTAAGTACTATAACTGCTGTAGTTTTTTTTCTTTCGCACAAAAAGCTGTGCTTAATTCAACTCAATCATTCAGGACTACACCGAATGGGCTCGTTATCTCCATGTCCCTATTGGTAGTGTACCAAATGACGCAGGTCTCTTTGGGCTTGATCTATTTTTTGCTCGCAATCTTCAAAGGGCTGGACATGTTCTTTGGGCATCGCCTTCGAGCCGACCTGATCTCGGCGGCAAAGTGAGTTTGTCCAGTTTCTACAATTATTGGAAGTTTTTTCACTCTATAGTAATGTGTTCAGGAACTTGACGATCTCCGTCTTAGTGCAGATTGGAAACCATTGACACTGGACGAAACAGTTCTGCTGAATACGCCATCGTTCTGCGGAAGTATATGTATCGAATTTGCTCTCGAGGCCGTTGCGGTATGTTTTTTCTGAGGCACGGGTTGAGGTCGCATTGATCTCTTATCTTGTTTGAAAACACGACAAGATGG